GACTCAAATTAAGTCAAAATTTCTGCCAGTGGAGTAAGAAAATTTTACTTGGTAAGGTTCTTGAAATAAGAAAAAATTTGAGTCAAATTTTCAGACTAACAAGACAAATAATCTTACACATTCTGAAAACAAGATTATTATTCTTACACAATCAGTTCTTGTTTAGTAAATCATTCCTAAAACAAGATCAAAAAGACTTTTTGGCTGATATAAGATTTTAAAACTTGGTAAGATGGACAGTTTTGCAGTACTTCAATTCTATATCACAATCAAGTAACTATGTTACCTTCAGTTGTTATGAAAACACTGAATATCAAAAATAAAGTTGACTGTGCATCATATACTAAATCATATCTAAACCACTTGAAATTAGACTCTATTTAAGAACCTCCTACTGTTTCAGACGCTACTACTTCAGCACGTCATCACAACATTTCGGGGAGAGGTGCTCTGTTGGGTGGGAGCTCGGCTGCAGACTGAGCTCCAGGGAGGAGCTTTGTGTAAATAGGATGTGCTTTGTATCAACAAGTGTTTAGGCAGCTCCACATGGCTACCACTGGAGATTCAAAGATTTATCAAACATGCATGAATGGGTCAAAACAACACTCATAGTATGTTTGATGTGGGAATGACATTTAAGAAAAAAGCTTTTGCCATGAATTCAACTGACTGGCCTCTCCTGTCTGACTCCCTCAGTCCTTTCATACAATCCCAATTCCAGTGAAGTTGGGACGTTGTGTAAAACAGAAATAAAAACAGAATGTAATGATTTGCAAATACTTTTCAACCTATATTTAATTGAATACACTACAAAGACAAGATATTTAATATATTAGTGCAGACCTGTCTTCCCGACTTCTCTGGGTCCATGCTCTTCTGAGATGGACTGACACAAAGTGAACAAGTGTCTTATGGTCTAACAAGTCCACATTTCAAATTTTCCTCTGGGCCAAAGACCGTCTGGTTTGTTGTCAGCACAAAGTTCAAAAGCCAGCCTCTCTGATAGTATGTGGGTGTGTTAGTGTGTAACTTGCACATCTGTGAAGGTACCATTAATGATGAAACCTACATATAGGTTTTGGAACAACAGGATTGCCCACCCCTTTCCTAGTGCCTGATTAGTTGTGGGGCAGCAGTTTAAACACACTGCTGTAAAAAGATGGTAACATTCTCAGTGATAAGCTCACCAAAGTCAGGGGTCTGCAAAACGTTTCAACTCAGCAAGAAATCTTGTGCTTTTTTAATCTTTACCCTGGCAATTACCATAACAAATCACAGCTTAAAGTAGACATATGCTTTTAAATTGTTCTTTTTCACATTTAAATCATTCAGTTGGGGTCTATATAAAGTGGAAATGCAATGCTTTTGTTTAAATTCATCCTTATTTTAACTTCAGCCCCCTCTTCTGAGCTGTGTCTCAAAGCAGCTCGTTTTGATGCCATCTCTTGAAATCCTAACAAGACGCTTCACATCCTGCCTACTCCAGCTTCCAGACCGGTTCATTCCAGCTGCATAGAGGAGTTTACGTCCATCTTGCAGTGTAGAAACCTTTTATTTACAAATTAAAAGATGTAAACAACAGGAGACTTGTCCATCCAGCCTTACATGTTGGAGTCAGAGTCTGACCCAGAGAGAGGAGAATGAAGATGAAAAAAAAAGGTAATTGGTAAAAAGCAGGCCTTATTTGGCAGTTCCGTTGCAAATAATTTGACGCAATAGTTTAGAAAATGTAATAGAAAATAGAAACTACTGAATAAGTTGAAAAATATGACCCAAAAATATACAGATGTGTTTGCAGCCTCAGGAGAGTCTAAATTCAGCTTTTCTGCACTCCTAGAGATTCCAACTACACAACAAGATGCATTTAATGGCTAAAAAAGTGGAGTTTGCATGATATGTCCCCTTTAATGTCTGTAAAGTTGACTAAGTTATAGACATTTATTTGGGCTAAAGCTGATTACTTGAGGGGAACATCTTTAATTGGACTACAAAAGCTAAATCAGTTGTTGTCTCGTTCAATGATAACGTAAAGTATTAAAATTGTACTTACTGGAGGTCCCTCTGGGCCAGGACTTCCCATTTCACCCTGTAAATTCACACATAAAAACACAGTAAACACATTTCAGTGCTTTTGCACGCTGGCTTGAACTGATACATGGCTGACAAATAATCAGTTTAATTCTTTTTACATTTAAAAATTATGCAGAAAAGCACAGAATAGCATGAGGCTGAAATGATATTAGGTCAAATAATAAAGTTACCTGCTGTCCTGCCAAGCCTCCCAGATGCATAGGTTTCCCATCAGGTCCCAAAATGATCCCCGGTTCTCCTTTTTGTCCCTGGAAAAACATTTAAATATGCTTATCTCTATCTTTTTTTTAAGTTCGGCATTTTTTTAACAAGTGGGTGTGGAGGTGTTTAAATCAAAATGACTACATGTTGTCAAATTCTTGGGTTCCTGCTCCTTCTACAGTATAATGGTAGGGGAAACACTGGTGTTTCATCCTTCTTGATGTCCCAAAGTAATCACATTAATATAGAGTTTTAAGAGAAAACCCCACAAAAATATTTAGACTAGAAAATTTCTTCAGAAATGTTGAGGGGTGCCAATGCAGCTGCATCCTAAAATTCCAAAATTCTTCTCTGAAGCCTGTCTGTCCTTCCAAACAAATTCAAGTCCTGCTAAGCTACTGGCAGCTTTGACTATCCTGACTGATGTGCCTTTTGATGTGAATAAAGACCCAAGGTATGGGAATCATCTACGTGTTCAAGTCAGTCACCTCTGATGTAGAAGATGTATGAAGTTAGCTTAGATACAATGGACATCTATCAGAGTTTAAGTAACCATTCTGTACTGGAGGGGGCATATGTTTTACAGCAGTGTAAGACACACTGGGTGAAAGATGACAAAAATAACTGTTTTAATATATATAAACTGGATAGGAAGTGTAAAACTGTGGGTTTAATAGTTTGTTGTAAAGTTCAGAACTTGAACTACAATGAACATTGGGCCTCAGGCAAGAACCGTTCGTACGCACAGATTTGTTCTTAAGTTGTGCGTTCGAGTGATTTAGGAGAATTTGTGGCATTCACCAATGTTTTCGTATTCTAAGATTATCTTCAGATACGAACAAAATTCACGAGCGGTCCAGACCTGTTGTATATTTTACGAGCAGTCAGTCTGCTGTTATCCAGACGGGTTTTCTTCATTAATAACTTTATATTTCGTTAGTTTGAAGATATTTCGAGTTGAAAATAAATCACATTCCATAATTATGTTGACAAGAGGCTATTCTGTTTGAATTAGAGTTATAATTTTAAATGTAATAATGCAGACTAATGACAAACTGGTTAAATTAAATTAAATTGGCTATTTTGTTGTATAGCACTACAATATTAGTATGAAGTTAATTGAAGTTTTGAGACATTTTAAAATGCTTTTTATCAGAAATGCATTCGACACTTGCGACGGTTGGGGGTGGGGGTCGCGGTGCGTGACTGCCCCTCTGAATAAGTGAAACATGTAACACAGTTTACACTGAAATTAAAAATATTTGACCAAAGAAAAGCCAGAGCAGGACTAGAGATAGAGATAAATATGATTTAGATTTTTATTTCTGTGATTATACAGGAGACACAACATTAACAGCAGGTTTTAAAGCAGATCCTTTAATTCTACAGCTGACGCTGCTAAAAATGACTTTGTTTTGCGGATCTCTGAGAGCAGAACTTCAATCTCCGAACTTGTAAAGTTCTTCTTTTTTTACTTTGCAATGTCACTTATGAATGAACACTTCCTGGTATGTGTGGCAGGAAACGTATATCCTTATATGGTGTTTTTTGGGGTGGTAATTATGTAAATCACCTCTCCTCGTGCACGAGCACCTGATAAGCATTCATCAGTTTATGCTCCTTGTTTACACACTTTTCCTGAAGATAGAGGAGTTTGTTGAATCTGACGTGACATGTTCGTACGATCCCTTCGTACGAACAAAGGTAAGAGAAATTTAGGATAAGAATACGAACATGTTCTTGCATGAGGCCCACTGTATGGTGAAATCTTAAAAATCATGAAATTTAAATAGCCACTGTACAAAAACTGTAAAATACATCAATATGCCTATTCAGTTGTTCAAATCCAACTTTCTGTGACCAGTTTAAACTTTGAATAAGGTTTCTACTGTGAGGTACATCTGAAATGCAGAGCTCCAAACAGAGCTGGCTTTTACCCCTTGTTTCAACAAAATTCTAACCTGGCCATTGCCTTCCTATGCAGTGCTGCTTGATTCAAATCACTCTTTTCTGGTCCGTCTGGGCTTTCTTTCTCCAGTAGAATTTAAAACGGGTCAGCCAGTGAACAGAAATAGGAATTGTGAATGGTGATATCGATTTTCTGAGCTGTTTTAGTCTGCCTGTAATTTAGCAATGTTAGAGAAGGAAGTGAATGAATTCATTCATTCTGTGTTGATTCTTAAATTTCTCTCCCAAGGCCTGCAGCTCTCATTTACAGCCATCCTGTTCGGCTCGGTGCTTCTCTCTTCCCAGTAGGGGATGGTTGTTTACAGCGCACGCAATTTCCGTTTAGTTTCTTGGCTTAGCTTCCTTCATGGTCGAGCTGGTGCTATATATATACATTACAACCAAACGTTAGCGATTGGATAAAATCAGATCCAATCATTTTAAACTTGAACAGAGTTCATGCCGCCAACAAGCAATCCTTTCTCAAAAGCCGAGGGTCCAGACCCTCTGTATGAAGCAAAGCGTGGAAAAAGGGGCTTGTAAGACCTCATTTTGTAATAACAACGCATTATGTAATAATGTAATAAAATCAGGCTTCAAAATGTAATAAACTCACACTAAAACCGCATTATATAATAATTGACGCAAAATGTAATAAAAGTCTTCAACGCATTATGTAATAACGTTATTACATTTTGCAGCAATTGTTACCGAATGTGGTGGTGTAATAATCTGGTGAATTATGTAATAAAAAATTAAAAACCAGTATTTCTGTTCTTTATTTAGATGTCCTGTCAAAAATGTAAGATGCAGCCTCACCTACAATTCATGTTTATTTTTTTTAAACTTTTTTTATCACTTCAGTAGAAAAATTCATGTTTCAATACAACCATGTTGAGTTGTAAGGAATGTTCGTAATTTACACAGATTTTATGTCATTTTGCAGGTATATGGACGTATAGAGCAATCTCACGGATTTTTTCATGTTTTATGGAATCTTTCAAAAACTTAGTTTCTAATTTATTCAACAAGTCAGAGCCTGTAGGACGTTAAAAAAAACAATTATTAACATCAAATATCCACTTCCAACCCACTCTATTGCTAGAAACAAGTTCTTCAACCCTCATTTCCTTCTGATATCACTACAGCCGACAGTCCGCCTGCACCGCACCCCCTCCCCTTCATGGCTGATGGTCCACCTGCATCCCTGCAGGTGGACCAAAATGCGTTGATGACTTTTAGTACATTTTGCGTCAATTATTACATAATGCAGTTTTATCGTGAGTTTATTACATTTTTGAAGCCTGACTTTATTACATTATTACATAATGCATTGTTATTACAAAATGAGGTCTTACAAGGCTGGTTTTCACCAGGCTAAAAAAAAACTTATTGATCTTTTTTTAAGCTGTTTGTTGCACATTTTGTTTTATGTTGTATGAAGTACTGCACCCAAAATCATGGCACACTATTCCTAACTGATGTGCACTGTAATGGATCTAATACTTTTATGTTTAAGCTAGTAATTCATGCCATCCTTTAATGACCTAGGTTTTCATGCTGTTCATCTGCAGACAGAATGATTAAAGTCAGAACAAGATTTGCTAACAACAGCCATTCTTAGATATCACTTGTGTTTATCTTTGTGTTTTCCATTGACCTTGTATCAAATCTTGCTAAGATGACAGAATGGTGTTTGTTAATACAGTATATATATGAGGCCTCTCGAGACAACAGTAGTGAGTAGTGTGGAGAGACAGTGATAGAGAGAAGCAGAGGCACAGAGACAGGCCAGGTTGTTCTCTGTGTTTCCTGTTGTTGCAATAAAACTCAACTGATCATCCCACAGAGTACCTTCATTCTTGGACCACATATTTCTGTCTTTGTTAAATAAATATTTACCATAACATTTTAATTTCAAAGCCACAGAACAAGAGGTGAAATAAAGAATTATGATGGAAAAGGAATGGTGAGCTAAAAGTAACAAAAAATTGATTATTGAGTTCAGTGTAAAAAAATAACCAAAATGTGTATTATTTTACCTTAGGAGCATATCCTGGAGCACCTATGTCTCCTTTATCTCCTTTTTGACCCATGGGACCCTACATCACAAGAAATCATACCTTTATCTTCTTAAATCAGTTATTTCTCCAACATAATTGCATGACAATAACTTTTACACATACTGGGAGTCCTGTTCGACGTGAGACACCCTAAACAGGAGAAAATAACACATTAGACAAAAATACAATCTACATCCTGCCTTTTACAGATAGTTGAAGCCGGTGAGGTTTATGGTGAGATTAGTTTGATTAGATCACTCACCTGCCCCACCTCGTTCCAATAAACCTCGTTAAACTACAGCGAGATAAAGTTAGGTCAGTTAGTAACAAACGATCAGGCAGGTGGTGACTGTTAGTGAATTTGAGTGAGGGAAGGTTTGAGACAAAGGGTGATGAGGCGTCACGCTGATGTGTGAGGGTTAATTTGATTTTTCATGTCAAAGCTCTTGATTCAGTTTAGCCCGGGACTCACATCTCTTGTCGACTGGTAGACAATCTGACCTGGAGGGCCAGGAGGCCCTGGAGGACCAGGTGGCCCACCTTCTCGACCCGGGAAACCCTGTGGTCCAAACAAGGACAAAGATGAGGCAGGAAACATGCAATGATCAACATGATGCAGCTTAGTGAGATACAGTCAGAGTCAACACTTCTTCAAAACTAAAAGCCTAGTATTCCTTGCAGAAATGCCTATCGTCCAATACCTTTCATGACAGACTCTTAAGGATCCCCGACCCCGACAACTTGCACATGTTGGCCTTAATGGGGTGGACTGTACAAGTCTTTATTTAAAGGCAGAGGTTGTGGTTTTTGGACCTAGAAATATCTTTGCAGCTAACTCCACTTTCTAATATAAAGAACCTTTGTGATACTTTTCAGTCAGGATATGTTGTTTAACCACTACAGTTAAAAAAAATGTTTCCAGAGCTGCGTTCTTTCTATTGTGCAGTATCCATAGAGTTAGAAACATCTCCAAATAAAATGACATCTTTATCACTTTAATACTGGCAAAATTGTAGGCGCTCTCAAAATGAGCAAGAGAGGATTTTAAACTCTAAACAAAAATAAAGTTTTTGCATTTCACAGGTTTGGAACAGCAGGTCAAAAACTTGTGCTGTAAACCCAGCTTTGTACATTGGAGATGGTGAGGAAAGCAAATTTAGTAATGTAGTTAACAACAAACTTTATTTTAAGGGGGAAAATGTGGAAATTGACACATTTCGTCTGGCTGCATTTTCTCCAAAGAAAATGTTGTTGGCTTAGAATTACAGAAGCCATCTCTTAAAAAAACACAAGCCACTCATTTTTGCAATAAAGACAAAACTGAATATATAAGGCCAATATAAAAACTGTGTCTAGGAACAATATTTAAACATATACTGTACATTAGGGCTGCCATGATTTATCGATTAATCGACGACTAATTGATTATTAAAATAATCGATGACTAATTTAATAATCGATTAATTAGTTGTTTTTTTTGTGCTTTTTTTTCTCTCCAAACTGCTTTGACACCTTCCACTGCCACATCTGCCTTTCTGTCCTTGACACACATGCACAGTAGTGGTAACTGGGGTAGGCCGTGGACGTCACAAGACATTATACAGTGGGGAAAATAAGTTTTTAGTCAGTCACCAACTGTGCAAGTTCTCCCACTTAAAAAGATGAGAGGCCTGTAATTG